TTTCATTTGAGTTTGTTGCAGACGCTTTGAGAGAATCTAATATTTATATTGTTCCAGTTTTATAAATGGTGGATTTGGTTCATTTTAGTCACTTTTGTCCAGTCCTTTATGAAGCCATTTTTTCTCCACAGACTAATAGCTTTAGAATTGAAGTCTAAATTATTATAGTTGTGGCATTCCTCCAAATGTCACTGAAGCTTGGAGAATCTGTAAAATAGTTGATGGTAACCTAATCACGTGTTTCCTCTCTCTATCTCTATGTGTGTAAAGAATGTGGGAAGGAGCCAAAATAAGGGCCCTTCGACTACAGAATCTTGACATAGCGGGGCAGGAAAGCAGAGGGTTCTCCTTTTCTTTGTCATTAAATAAATGTAAGCTCTGTCTAAGGGTATGCATGCAAATCATGCTGAAAATAGCCGTACATAATAAATCTTGCTTTACGGGTGAGTCATATTCCTGAAAAGGATGCTTGTTGCTATTAGTAATTGTTGCTAACGGTGTAGATATCAGAATTATTTTGTATCGCCCCAAACTTTTAAGAGTATATTCAGCCAATAGAGATGTAGCAATCAGACAATGTATGGTTATTTCTCTTTACTGACAAGCTGATTATAACAGATACATGTCACACACGTCCTATAAAGGAACAGGCAATTTAAATGCATTCAAATTCATTACGTTTTTGTATATCCCAAGCTCGGGTTATCTATCCATTTTAATGGATGCCACCTGAAGTGACAGGCTTTTTATATATATATATTTGTAGCATATCTGTAAAGGTAACAGCATACTGCATTTTGAATCAATGTAAATGGAGACCTATGACCAATAAGGTTAATAGGCTACTTTTCTCAGAAGATAGACACGACTCACGAAGGAGCAGAGAGAGGCTGTGAGTTTGTCATTGCAAGTACCTTGTATTTACAGTGACAACATCCAAACGGCCATATGAAAAATGGGCAAAAAATAAAGGAGAAAAAAAATCAAAAAAGACAAAATGTATCAATGCCTTAGTTCCACAGTTTTGATTAGACGTCCCAGGAAAGTCACTTATAAAGTGCGTGGTGTAGCGCAGGTAATGACAAAAGGTCAAAAAAAGGACAATAAAAGGGACAAAAAAGTCAGATCAATGTGGAAACTAAATTGTTTGTTGGCTGCAAGGAGCCTTCTTCCAGCCTGGCAGGAGAATCAGAAATCTTCACAGACCACAAGTGCCACCTTTCTTAGGTACTTAGGCTCAGACTTAAGCATCTACAAGCATCTACTGTCTTCTAAATGGAGTGTGGATTGTGCAAAGGCTAAAGTAACTGCTGTATCTATGTAACCTATATGAAGACTGTGACTGTAAGCAAAAGTATTATTGTATATTGAGTATAAATGGCTAAATTAGACTGAGGTAATAAGTAAAGCATGTGCTCTATGTTCTTTGAGAGAGATACAGTTGTATAGCCAAATCAAATATAAAAAAATATATATCCCCAACCTTTAGCAGATTTGTAGTAAACTCCAAAGTAACTCAAATAGCATGTTTTTTGTTAATTCTGTTACAGAATGAAAAAGTGGGAGGTTGTTGTTTATATAATTTGGATCAATTGGTTGTCAAAGGAGAAGTCCAGTCATATTCAGAATTCAAACTTCTGAGAGTACTTTAAATATGAAATTATTACATACTGTTTAATAAATTATAAGTGTTACTTTAGGGCCATTTTCATTTGAATGTGATTTACTGGAGACTTGTTTATCAAAGAACACTACTGCCACCTACAGGTTTGTGACGTCGCGTTGCGATATCGGCTGTTGAGCAAGTCCCAGTGCTGTATCTGGTGTTTGCCACAGCGCGCTATTATCCAAGTCATCATGAAAACATTCTTCTTCAAATGTTGCATCATTGTTACATTTTTTTTTCCTCTGGCCAGAAGTTCAATGGCATTTCATCCCTTTTGAGGTTGGCAATCCAACGACGGTAATCCATCAACGAACCGTGTTGGATCATGAATCGGAAATTAACATTATTTTCCGAATGTCAAAAATCTTCACACAAATGCAGTGAAGTTTAAAGACCACTGGTACTTTGTAATTTAATTTATAATTGTTTATGGACCAGAATACTTTGGTGAATCATGTGCTGTGCATGTGGGAATCTTGTATGCTTGCTGAATCGTTCTGTGTGTGTGTGGATCTTGTCCTGTGCATGTATGAATCACATATGTGTATTTGTGAAAATGTAGACGGATTTAGCTCTATAGGATTTTTCCTGAATTAAAATTCCCTTTACGTGGATTTTTTCATTATAATTGCAAGAGCGAACATGGGAATTTTGTTTAAAAAATTCAATAAATAGTTAAATGTTGTCAGCAGGGATTATTGAATTCACACACACTTTTACTCATGGCATTTAGATAAAGGAACAGAGCTTATTCTATTCCAAAAAACATAAAAGAGTCTTAAAAGTATATAAGATGGACATAGACCTCAACCAACCCCATGAACTGAAGACGAACACAACATTGATCAATGGGTACTACTGATTGTTTGTCAGAACAAACAAATCTTACATTGTCTCATTATGTTTATCTTGGAAAAAGCTTGCATTAGCTAACCATAAATATATGTTGTGAATAATTGCATCCAAGGCAATGTGCTGGTACGGGCTACAAATATTCATACACAGCTTGATCTCACTGTGCTTTTTCTGAACATAGCGTTTGGGTAGAACTTTTTCTTGCTTGGTGTCCAACTGCTGCACTGTGATTATGCAGGATTTAGATGGCCATGTTTAGGTTGAAAGAAAAGAAATGCTTTGAGAATCAGTGGAATTTAACACTGTAGTCACACAGCTAAGCAGTTGAACATGCCACTTCTGCTTACTTGTGCCACGGCACAACATGGGCTCTTATTTCTGTCCGTACCTCTATGTTAAGCTCTCTGCCTGTGTTGCTTACTCTCTGTGCCCTCTTCCACTCTATTGATCCTCAGTGATATGCGTTATACTAGGGCCTGCTTCAGCAGCTGAGCTTCTCGTGGAGTGTGACTACTTAGAGGCAAAAACAATTTTTTTCTTGTTCTTTCAACCTTAAGAACAAGAGAAATTTTTTTGGTTCTTGTGGAGTATGTCTTTAAGTCTTTACGGTTTGCTAATAAGGCAGCAAATGCTTCAGGTAATAATGTGCTTCACTTCACTGCTATGCCAATAAAGCTATTCTGTATTTGTCAAAGCTTTGTTTGCTCTGGCTTGCATTTCCGCTTCGGTGATGCCATCTTACCCTCAGCCTCAAAAGTGGTGCATAGCTATTGGCCAAGGACCATGGAGTCTGGAGTGGAATGAGTTGAAAATCTGTACATATTTTCATTTAGCTGTTTAAGAATAATAGTAGGGGGCGTCTTTTTAAGTCAGAGGACTCTAAAGCACTTTATACTACAGTCAGAAATTCTTCAGTTCTCCAAAACATTCGCACACTGAAAGCTACATTGTAGCCGCAGCTACCCCGAGGAACACTGGCAGAAGCGAGGCGACAGGTGGAATGTCTTTCCCAAGTAAACGGCAACTGAGACTGATGAGCTGGGGTTTAAACCAGAGACCCTTGAATTGAAGGAAGAACTGCATCCAATGGCACTGTCACCAATCACATAAATGTGTCTCAAACACAACTCAGTATTAAAATCACTTTTTTTTATCAATTCCAAATACATGAACTTACCTCTGAATTCCTATTATCTTGCTTTTGCTATATCATTATAAGAACAATATTGGTTCTTTAAAGTAAAAGCATTTTCATTGAAAAATATTCAGTATTTCCACTCTTTCTCATGAACTCAATATATTCTACTTTACTTTTTTATTTCACTTGTACCTTGAAATATGTGTACTTTTGAGACTTAACTTAAAAGCTTCTGAATTTATGTTTTGTACATGGTTATAACAATCTGCTAATCCTCTGGTTATAGAAAGGGGAATAAAAGCACTAATCTTCATATAATCTGTTATACAGTAAAGCAGTAGACAGTGTAAGGACAGGCATGGGCAAGTCTTCATTATATTATTGATCTTACTTCTTCAAAACAAAAGCACATCCTATTTAATTAATTCAAGAATTTAACAACAACTGATTTTAACCCATTTGTTCTAGTTTTTTTTATCCAAAGTTCTGCCAAATTACGGGCTCAGGGCTCTGTAGATGAATTGTAGCCATAATCCCTTTGCAACGGCCGTCCAAAGGGATTATGAGAATGTTCATTTTAACCCTGAGATATTAAATACAGTACATGACTTGGATTTGAAGGGACACTACATAAGACTTCACTCTACTTGGAGAAAAACAAAACACTTTAGAAGATTTCTGATATATGCCATACGTCATGAAGCTATAGTTGTCTTTGGAAAACCATCTGATACTAGATGATAGAGCTTAATATTGTTGTCTAAGCAAAAAAAAAACGTACTTATAGTGCAGACTCATGACACTGCATGCTTTGATGAGGTCATCACACTGAAAAAGATTCAGTCTCAAAAGAATCAAATGCCACACAGGTCTTGGGATCGATCTTCATTTGCATCGCCATAATCACATGGATTGATTTTTCAGCAAAAAACATTATCATACCTGAGGAATGGCTCAATTTGTTGAGCATGATTAATGATGCAAGTGCCCAGAGGGGAGAGCAGTGTGGACCTTAGGGGTGAACTGTGGTCCATAAGTGTGTCCCTAGGAAGGGATACAGTATCTATAGGCTCAGTTATCAGAATGGTACTGTATACACAATCAATACCATCCCCAGAGGTGGCAGATGGGTCGTCAGCGGGACGCAGGTTATTTTATTCCTCACGCCTCTCCTCCTTCCAGGCAGAGAAGGAGGCAGGAAAGATGTTGCTAGAAGTGAAGTGTTAAGAGCTGTCACCAGTGACAGGACACTTAAAGAGGAATTAGTGCTGCTATCGACAGCTTCTTTGAAGATGAAGGAATGATTCTTGCAATTTCAAGACTAGTGGTGGGAGATGACAGGAGGTTGAAGAGGCTGTAAAGAGATACTCCACAGTCCAGAGGGCTATCAGCACACACACTCTTGTGAGTCTTCTCTCTTCGATATCACTAGTTTTCCTCCTCTTAAGTATTTTTTAAAGAAGCTTAGGAATGTATCATTGGTATTATATCATAAACTTAGCCTATTGGGATAATGGCTAATGTAGATTCATTGCTTTTTCAGTACATGTAGTATTTGTGCAGCTCATGCTTGTACCATTATACTAACAGTACAGTTTTTTTTTTCTTCTGTTGTAAATATATTTTTCTCATTTCCCATACAGTACTTTTCCACACAGCCTTATTCCCCTCAGTTTCAGAACATTGAGAATATCACATCTTAATCTTAATTTATAAAGAAAAGAATAGGTTGCAGGATTTATATAATATTGGTGCGCATTTCGGGGGGGGCGGGGTACATGTTTTACCTACAATGTGGGTGCATGATTTTGAAAAATATACATATGGGGACATTCAACTGGTCCCCATATGGTGAAGTTGTGTCTGGTGAGTTGGGGTTAGGTTAGGATAGGGATTAGGGTTAGGTCATATAAAATGACTGCAAGTCAATGAAATGTCCCGCAGTATCATGAAAACACACAGTTTGTGTGTGTGGGTGTGTGTTTGTGTGATTTAATCTCAGTATAAATAAGTGAAAGTGAAAAAAACTGAATCTGTTACACCAGACAAATTTTGGAAGGATCAGGTTACCTAAATCACAGGACAGGAAAGGAGAGCATTAAGCAGAAAATCCACCAAATGTCTTAGGTTACAGTGGAAGAGATGCTGCCGAGCACAGCTAAGGTTGAAAAAATTAACTGATCAGTTCACTGGACCAGATGTCTTCTACAGGAGGTCCACGAACCCTGGGGGGTCCATGGAGGTACTGAATGGGGTCACGAAAGTTTTGGTTGATGTTTTTTTATATTCCCCCCTGTAATTTTTTTCCAATACCGTATTTTCACGACCATAAGGCGCACCATACTAAAACGCGGAGTCTCAGTTATGTGTGCCATTACTGTATTTTACTATATTACTGTTTTATATACAGGTACATATCCTCTACTACGTTTAAATACCTCTACTGCGTATTTAAAAATAGAGCGGGAGCAAAACTGAGTATGTTTGTGCTTTATTCATGTATTTATTAAAAAAGTATTAATCAAACCCATCAAAGTCATCATCCTCTGTTTCTGAATTAAACAGCTGCGCTAAATCAGACATGCCAATTTCCCCTTCTTCGCTGTCAGAGTCACTTTCCGTGCCGTGCGGCTCCTCGGAAATGATGCCGGCTTTTGCGAAAGCTCGAACAACAGTGCCAGCAGACACGTTAGCCCAAGCATCTACAATCGATCCGCAAACTGTGGCGTAACTTGCCCGGCGCTGCCTTCCACTTTTCGTGAAACTGTGGTCTCCGTTGGTCATCCATTGCTCCCACGCCGCTCGCAGCCTTACTTTGAACGGCCGGTTCACACCGATTCCAAAAAAGTTCCTTTGTCAGACCTCCCGGAATAACAGCAAGCACAGCGTTCATTTGTTTCACCTTGTTTTCACATCGGCTGTGAGATGGGCACGCATGGAGTCACAGATTAACAGCGATGGTGATGCGTGGAAAAAAAACACCTGGTCTCCTTACATACACCTCCCTCAGCCACGCTTTCATCATCTCCTCATCCATCCAGCCCTTTTCATTTGCCATAATAACAACTCCAGCTGGAAAAGTCTCTTTAGGCAAAGTCTTTCTCTTAAAAATCACCATAGGCGGCAGTTTCTGTCCATTTGGGTGGCAGCCAAGCACAACAGTAAATGACACCTTTTCATACCACGCCCACATTTCCCCCTTTAATGTTCTCATGGTGGTCTCAACAACATCCGCAGTAACAACACACATAGGGTGCACCGCACTATAGGGCGCGCCGCACATTTTGAGGGGGAAAAAAGACGTTTATATGCGCCTTATAGTCACGAAAATACAGTAAATAAAATGTCTTTTAATACACATTAACATGAATTCAACACAATGTAGTAAACTGATAAATGGAGGCAGAAAATGTCTGTCAGTCATCAATGCACTTTGGAGCTCTTTCAAGCTGGGCACCGTTTCATTCACAACACCTGTCCCATCAACCAGGAATCAGAATCAGAATTAATTTAATATTCCCAGGGGGTAATTACTTTCGTTACAGGATACCATCTGTAATAGAGTGACTATAGGACCAGTTTGATAGAACACAATTTTATACTATATATAATAAGGGGGTCCACGCTCCATCTTGCCATCCATTTGGGGTTCCTTTGCCTGGAAAACTTTAAAGACCCCTGCACTGGACAAATAATTACAGACCTAAGAGATCTGATCTTTATTGAAGGGTGGCATAAAGAAAGCCAAAAGAAAGGTCATAGGAAATCTAATTTTAAGTTTTACAAAAGCCACCCGAGGAACAATCTGTTCTAGTTTAGAAGATTAGCACAATGTTTATTTTATAGAATGGTCTAGTCAAAGTATAAAGTAGAAAACAAAATAAAATAATATTTCCTTTTGCAACATAGAATGGTGTCTATATTTTGAAAGATGGATGGGTCATATCCCCAAAACATGGAGTTTTAATTTCTGTTAAAAGTAGGGTGACCAAATGCCCAGACACAGGATACAGTAGTCCTATATTTGTTCCACTTTCCCAAAAAGCAAAGCTGTATCCTACATTTGACTGGATCAAATTATAAAAAAAAAAAGTAAAATATGACTTTGTGAAGAAGGCAGAGCGAGTGATTGTCACTGAGCGGCACCAGTGCCACACATTATTACAAAGCTGCACAGGGTGCTCTTAAAACTGAATTGGTAAAGGATTTTAAAACAAAATTCAATGGAAACTATGGTTAAAGAAAATAAAACGCAGCCACAACAAAGACTGTGAAACGGTTTATAACTGGATGAGGCCAGTGAAAGGTGATTCTCAGAGAGAGTTTTGTGAAGTCTGCTGAAATGATTTTTAAATTTGATTCGAGTGGAGTGAGATGTAAGGCAATACTGTAAAAGTGAGTTTTAAAAGAAATGCACAGCTGAAACAGCAGCATCTATCCTGTATTTCTTATGATGTTTTTTTTAGATCTGGTCACCCTAGTTAAAGGTGGTTGTACAAAGTATAAAAATTGACCCAACAGGGGTAAAGTACACTGATATACACAGGGATATATTTCTACAATTTTAATTTGTCAAAACAGTTAGAAGCTATCATCATTTTCTTTCAATACCACAGTTATGCATTGATTTCTGTTTGCCCGTCCAATGAAGTCCCTTTAAAAAAAAAATGGACTGTGTTTGTGTCTTGTGCACAAACCTGCTGCACAAAAAAATTGCAGGTGTTTGGTTTTTCTTTTTTAATGGGGTTTATTCATTGATCTAAGCAATGAAAAACAAACACCAAAAAAAATCTGTGCCCTTATGTTTTTTTCTTATATATTAAATCACAAAGTAATGCTGCTCTGCATGTAGAGGAGTCTCTGCTGCAGAGCAACTGGTGAAGAGGAAGCGCATCAGCTGAGACGGCCATAAACAATTAGGGCGCGGCACACATCCCATAATCATCTGAGAACATTTCCATTCCATCTAAGCCAATCACGTCTCATGACCCGGCTGTCCGGGACCTTACTGTGACTTCCTCCACCCACCATGAGAGGAACATCTCAGAGACAGATTGGGATATTTAAGCATGATAAAAAAATTTAGGGTTATCTGTTGGTTCTAGATTCACTAAGCAGTGGAAAACACAACAGCTCTGCTAAAAGATCAAAAAGTTACTTTGCTCTTTCAACTAAAGAATATCACCACAGATTATGAAGTCCACTATCTGATCTCCTCCTCTATAATCTCTCTCCTTTTGCCTTTAACCTGCAGGTCAGCCTCAGAATGTTTGAATGTACCATTTTTTTTTTTATCCACCACACACACACCATTTGATGCTATTCTTAATGCATCAGCGCATGTAAATCTAGGCGGGTGGGAAGGAGACTGAGTAATTGATCCTCTTAACTACTCCCACTCAATTACAGCACAGGTTAATGCAAGTAACCTCAGGACCGCTCATCCCCACGCTCTATACTAGTGGCAATTGCCTTGAAGGTGAGGAGAAGGGGTGTCTGTTTGTGAGACACACATCTCTTGGCAGTCTACATTGATTATAATGCACTTTAAGATATCTCCAGTAAAGATTTTAGGAGAGATCATAGAAGTAATCTAGCCTCTTAGTATTTAAAGGAAAATCTGCTGTACAATATTTGAAAAATGTGTATCAGACACACGAATATGATTTGTTCAAATGATTTGAACCTGCATATATATATATATATTTTTTTTATTTAACCTGTTAAGAAAAACCTATGAAGGCCATATGAGTCACTTGGCAGCAGGATGTGAGCTACTAAAGCTCTTGCCAAAATGTTTCAGGAGCTTGTGGATGTGATCCGTGTCCTTACAATGACTGCACAGTTTTTTTCTCTGCTCTGCCAGCAGTGCCTGGTTTGTCTCACTTAGCTGTTAATGGGTTTAACCTAATCAGTACTAGCCTTTAGTAATAACGCTTCCTCTGCTGAGCCATCACGCTGGCTTCTCTACAGTGTTTTTCAAAAAATATTTATTCCCATTCAAGAATAATACAGCCACTGATCTCCTTTGTTTTCCTCCAACTGTAAAAAGGCAGAAAATAACCTTAACAGTTTACCTTAGCTAGAAGTTATTCAACACTGGACAGTTTGCACTGGGATTATAGGGGTAATCTGCTGTGGGTAAGAAGAAAATCATATTCAGATAGATATTGATATTTCGGGAATTAAAAATAGGGCCATTAAACACGTTTCAACAGATGAAACTGGAATTTGATCAAGTTGTCATTATTTTATTAGAAAACACAAACATTGAACGTTAAGTAAAATATTTTTACTTACCTATCATTTAAAAACAAATGGAAAGATTCCAATAAAAAAAAAACATTCATACAAATAGGAAAGTATGATTTACTATTTTGATGAGCCATCTCTTTAAAAAGAGTAGCTTTTGACTTGAAAGCTTCAGTTGGAAAGTTTTGGGTTCAATTCCTGCTTCCATCACATGTGGCTGTGCAACTTAGCAAAGCACTTATCCAAAAGTTGCCTACCTGTCCAATGATGACTGTATAAATATGTATATTCGTTAAAGCAGCTTAGTATGGCTGGAAAATCTCAATAAAGCGTAATATTGTGGAGGTATTACTGAAATAATTCACACATAAAATCAATGTGTTAATCAGTTATATTCTAACAGGAACCTGTTGTTCTTAGCATTATTGTGTAGTTTCAAAGTCAAGGGGTTTGAACCGGTTTTTAAATACTGTTAAACCACATGTGATTTTGTATCAAGTAAAAGTTAATTGCATATCCATGTTTGTCTATCATATAAACCCCGAGTAAATAAAGTCAATGTTTGTGGCTGTAAAATGTGAAGGAGTTTCAAAGGGTGTGAATACTTTTGCAAAATGCTTTTTTTTCTTCACTTCAATTATTTGAAAGACAGAATTTCCCAGGTCATTACATTGGCTAATTGACATGTGTTAGTTACATCTGGGTAAAACATTATGAAATACCTAAGCTTCAACTCATCATATTTTGAAATGAATAGTAGCTAAATTAATCTATTCTCAAAGGAGATGATATTACTGTCTCCTGAGTTCTGGGCATAATTTCATGTAAGATTATCTGTGTGTGCTCTGCTGCTAAATGTGGTTTGTGATTTGTATTCAGGGTGACATGACTGAGGCTCTTCAATCTCTCTCCATTAGATTTTAATAGGTTTTATATCACAAAGGTTCACAGAGGACTTTGCACAAAAGCATGCTAATTTTTGTATGTGTTGGATTTTAGTAGTTCTACTGCAGTGCTTCCCTTCTTTTAGGAGGGAGATTATTCACCTGCAGGAGTCAGGATGGAGACTCTGGCAGGGTTGAGTTGAGGGGGGAAAAGGATATCAAATAATCCCAGCAGCTTTATGGGAAGCCGGGTATAAGTCAGAGATCCAGATGAAAAACTCAGCTCATCGCATTACATGATGTGATATTCAAATGCAATTCTCCTTTCTCACATGAATATACATTTTATAAATCTAAAACATGACAAGACATCATAGGCCTGTAGTTATCCGGCCTTAAAAAAATTCCTGGTATGGATGAAAGTGCTGCTGCTCTTTCATGCAGACCTTTACAGATATGGCCAGATGTTGGTAGCCTTTACAAATGATAGCACTGAAAGTCAAGCTGATGATTTTTTTATCCTACAAGCAAAATTTCATTAAATATGCAGACTAATGTCAGAGACGTGTGACAATTTGTATGTTAAAAATTCTATTATGCATCAGTTTTTTTTTATTATACCACAACTGTAAAAAAAAAATATATAATTATTTTGCATTTAAGATTAAAAAAAAAATTTTTGTCTGTCAATATGCTCTATCCAGAGCTCCTCAAGTGGTTTTAGTTTTTATTTCACCTAATTTCATTAAGTAAAAAAAATCTTCTTTGAGGAACCGTTTGCTATCCAATTATTAATGGATTCATCGCAAAAATAATCAAGAGATTATTTGACAAATAATTGTTAGTTGCAGCCCTTGCGATTTCATGCAGGGTTTTAACGTTGAAATTAATTTTAGGGCCACTCTTCCTAATAAGAGCAAGAAATGGGACTGTCATCTTAAAATGTTCACTCTGTTGGCCAAGTTTGATGAATGGGTGCACCCATATCTGCTGGAAAGTAAATTTTATTTGGTATATAGGGTCCTATCAACTATGAAAGTAAAATGAAGACCAAAAAAAGATGTATAGTTGGTTTACTTAAGTAACAAATACGTTTTTGCTATACATTTTAACTAACTTCAGAGAAAATTTCCAGCTAAAAATTTTAAATTTTTTCCAAACTGCTTCAACAAATGAGTTTGTACATCCAATTTAGCCTCTCTTATTTTTATTTTTTGTTCCAAAAAATAAAAAGGTATATCTCTTTAATATAATATGATTTGAAATATTTTAAGTGCCACTGGGGTTGATCTAGTTGGTTAACAGTGGGAAAAGGATTAGATCAGGTTTGGGCAGCTCCAGCCCTCAAGGGCTGTTGTCCCTTCTCCAACTTACTGAATCTAATAATTAGATGACTAGCGAGACTATGGAGACTTCTTGAAAAGTTGCAAACGGCTGATCGCGAGAAAATCTGGTGTAAATGAGACCAAATTAAATTTTTCTGTCATTACCTTTTTCCTCTGATAGAACTTCTTTTCTCATTCTTCTTCGAATACCAATATATGGTTATTGCTTTACTTATGAAATGCCATTAATTTAAATGTTGGTGCTAGCCTGGTCTTTACATACAAACAGACTTTACACTGGCAATAGAGTAAGCCCTAGTATTTTTATCTGTATTCAGTAACACCTGCAAGGTTTCTTTCAAGCCTAGAGATTCAAAATATTCTCTCTTTAAACATCAGAGCTTCATTTAAGCAGCTTTTTTTGTATATTAATACAAAGCAGAGTCCTCTGAATATAAATGCTATTATGATCAGCCTACTGAGCCTTAAAATGTTAACTTTGAGAGATATGTACGTAAAGTCATAGGCTTCAAAAATGTATCTCACTTGAACGATATTTAAAGTGTTTGTTTTTTTATGTGTCCTTTCAAGAAAGTTTGTCTAAGTCCTTCTTTTGTATGACTATGGTGATTAGCCTCATTTTGCAGTATCAAGCTTACGTTTTTTTCCCTTTTCCTCTGTCGTTTCAGATTCTCGCCATTATATCGATCCTTTTTATCGTCCTTTCCACCATCGCCTTGTCTCTCAACACCTTACCAGAGCTCCAGGTTATAGACGAGTTTGGTCACGCCAATGATAACCCACAACTTGCCCATGTGGAAGCTGTTTGCATCGCATGGTTCACTATGGAGTACCTCCTACGCTTCCTTTCCTCTCCAAACAAGTGGAAGTTCTTCAAAGGTCCACTAAATATCATTGATTTACTGGCCATCCTGCCATACTATGTCACCATCTTCCTAACAGAATCTGACAAGAGTGTGCTACAGTTCCAAAATGTGCGCCGTGTGGTGCAAATATTCAGGATTATGAGAATATTGAGAATCCTGAAATTGGCCCGGCATTCTACAGGACTCCAGTCTCTAGGGTTTACTTTGAGAAGGAGCTACAATGAACTTGGCTTGCTTATATTATTTCTTGCCATGGGCATTATGATATTTTCCAGCTTGGTGTTCTTTGCTGAGAAGGATGAAGATGCCACAAAATTCACAAGTATCCCTGCTTCATTCTGGTGGGCCACCATCACAATGACTACAGTAGGGTATGGGGATATATACCCACAGACTTTACTTGGAAAGATTGTTGGTGGACTCTGCTGTATTGCAGGAGTACTAGTAATTGCTCTACCAATCCCTATTATTGTCAACAACTTCTCAGAGTTTTATAAGGAGCAGAAGAGGCAAGAGAAAGCCATTAAGAGGAGAGAGGCATTGGAGAGAGCAAAGAGGAATGGCAGCATTGTATCAATGAACCTAAAGGATGCCATTGCTCGAAGTATGGAAATATTGGATGTGGTGGTAGAAAAGGGAGAAGACAGAACATCCCTAGACAACCACCTTACACCAAGCCGTTTTGGCAGCTCCACAAGGCGTGCCACTTCTGAGAGCAGTCTCAGATCTCCAGACAAACGAATCTCAGAGTCAGGACCTCAAAGCTCGCCCCACCCTATAACCATTACCACCACCGAAAGTCCACATCGGATAAGCAGGACGCCACAGCATCTTAACGCTCAGAAATTGGAGGAAATGTACAACCAGATGACCAAATCCCAATCCTTCACAAATCTAAACACCACAAGTTCCATGAGCACACTGAGCACAACCGTGACTGTACCTGGATCGCCGAAGAAGTCTCTCAGCCCTGACTCAACGTTAAAGGAAGAGGTGCTACTAGAGATGAGGGAAGTCAGGGATTATTCGAAAGGCAATTTAGCCGGACATACAGCAGAATGCATAAACCAGGGTTTCAACCAGGCTTGTGATGATGAGGGGTTATGTGAGATCAGACACCCTAAAGCTCCACCAGTTTTGGATTTTAGCCACCTAAGCTCTACTGGTAATGACTTTTATCAATCTCCCAACCTATGTGATGGATCAGATTTACAAACAGAGGAAGGTGAGAGCTTTAACAGTGCTGTTGAGATAATCCAAGGCTCTACATCTGAAAACAATCCTCTAAAAATAAAAGGATTGGAGGTTAACTTTAGCAAACCTTCCAGTGAAGGACCTCCTACTCCACCTAGCACCACCTCACCTGGAGAAATCAGCTCAAGCATCCTGGGAGATGAGTCCCCAGCAGAAGAAACATCACCCCTCATAACCAGTTCAGGAGCGCTTCTCCCAGTCACAGTTGAGGCCACCTGCAAGCACTCCCCTAAGAGGCTTGTGATAGACACCCCACCTGGTGATGAAGATCAGTCCACAGATAACCATGAGGAGAAGCAACTTATGGAGGAGGCCGGCGCTGCGGTTGCACCCTTGTCACCCAAAACAGCCGGACAAAACTGTACCCAAGGCAGCAACCCAGGTGGACGCAAAGTAGAGAATCACATATTTACATCTGACATCCACCTGATACCTGGAGATGGCAGCCTCACTCCAACCTGTGAAACAAGCATGTGAGCATCAGGGGAAGCTAGACCTATAACAACCTCAGTCCTGGCATGTGGGGGAGAAGCAGGACAAATCTGGGTGTAGTCGAACTGAAAGATATACTTGCATGGCATGACAAGTTCTCTTTTACTTGGGTTGTTGCGTATTGCTGAATCAGAAACTGCAGGGCTTCATGCAGTTTTGAGAAAAATACTTGAGCAAACAGTGGGCCCAAAAAGGAAAAAAAAATGAGGCTCTGGAGACAAGGGGAATACATCAAATAATGCAGACACCAGTTTTCCCAACGTAACAAAAATGACTACTTTCTTGCTAGGGAAATGCTCAGAAGGATTTATCTGTACAAAGCATGCATTAAAAAAGATATTTTATGGTGCTTAGTTTGCTGAAAGCCCTCCACTGTAAATACAATGACATGCAAGGTAATGACAATGCACAAGATGGCAAAGGAAGACCGAAGGTACAAACATTTGTAATGACAAAAAAACAATCGGGGTTGGGGGGGTTGAATCAACACTCTTGAGAGTGGGTATTTGCATAGTAGCGATCTATATTAAAAAACTAAAAAACAAAAAAACAAAAACATATCACATATTACCTGATGTGGAAATGCAAAGTGTTCCCATGATGCCCCTTGTAATGTCTGTATTTTTATTTTATCTTGTGCAATATGATGTTTCAGTCTGTAATGTTTATTTCTTTGGGTTGTCATAGCACCTTTTCAACTTTTGGTTTGTCAGCATACAGATATTCAAGACACTTCTCTTCCTCTAAATCAGTGGTTTCTCACCTTTGGTCAGCTTCCTTGGAAATTAGAAGACCCCCCGCTCCCCATTTACACCCCTTCTGACGAGCCTTTGCAAAATTTAAAAAGAGAAAAGTTAATTATTACTAGTTACATATTGCAATAAGATAAATCTACCAGCTCTTTTTTTAATACTTCACAAAATGGGTTGTTTTTTCAATTCATTTTTACCACCCCCCCAAATGGTGCCACATAACCCACTTTGGGAACCACTGCTCTAAAGCATATAATAACTGGAAATGCCAAATATGTAAATACTTAGTAAAAATCCGAGGTATAAAGAAAATTTATCATACAGTTTCTCCAGTTGGACCCAGTTTTAAAGCTCTATCTAAATCACTATTAAGATTTTTATTTATTCTCTAACAAAAAGTTATATAGAAGTAGATTTAAGAATCACCGAGATATGGTTTCTGTAGATTTAAATTGACTTTAGATGATTTCTTGAGAAGCTAAAGATGCAAACCATCGTAAAGGAATCAAAATGTTTTAGAATTAATAGAGAAGCACCAAAGAAATCATCTGTTGATATATTTTCTTTTAATCTGTAACTCTAAAATATTTTCTCTTTAGTGTAGGCCTATATCACATACTAAGCGGTACCAGGAGACACCCAAAACAACACTAATTGGTGCTGAAGCTGTGACTGGAAAATACTCAAAGGTAGCCATTTTCAGTAGAAGGAAGGCAACTTTTAGAAAAGAAAGCACATTGTCTATATGTTCTGTAGTTCATTTAGACTGAAAGAGAGCGAGTAAGAGAAAGACTTTAGCAAATAACAAAGCAAAGGAACAGGGTACTGCAAATGCTATAAGTATTCTGTAAATTTTAGACTAAAATCAGCCTTTTAAAAGTTATTTAGTTTAAGTTAGGTTCAGAGAATATACACAGATAATGCTAGCTGCTCTAATGGGGCAGTATAGTTAATGGCAAACAAAACTAATACACTTAAATATCTTATTTGGCTTTGCTTTAAAATAATAGTAAAACCCTGCTTTATTGCAACCCCTCTTTCACATTGCAGTGTATCATTTTCTCTGCTTCTAAATTTAAGATCAATATGGCAGGAAGGTTAGAAAAATGCTGTATTTGTGTCTTCTAATAATGTAGTTCTCGCAGAGAATTCTGATTCAGCTAACACTAACATATTAGTATTTATAAGGCCGGTTTATAGGATGTTCACGATTACATAAAAGGACACTATTCTTCCAAATACTAATGGACCAAATTAAGCACACTTACAGGCTTGTATCTGTCTCAGCTGCATCATATATTCTATTACAACATCATTTTAATTAGAGTTGTATTTGTTGCTTTTGGTTCGTTTACCTGCATTTAGTTCCTTATCTTACCTCGCCTGCATTCTAAAGTCTCATACAATTTTACTGGGTCTAGCTGATCATTCTTTTCTCATACTGTTTATTAGTGTTGGATCAGTCATTTATTGTGTTTTTCAGTCTAACTTAAACCCAAAGGAGTTTTTTTCTCTCTCTTTTTGTCTTTTATCTTCTTCTTGCGATTGTTTTACACCGACTGAAAATCTAAGTTTTATGTTGCCTTCAATTGTGGGTTGTTGTTTTTTTTGTTTTGTTTTTTGGAATTAGTATACATTGTCTCGGCATGATGTCTGTATGAGTGAGTTGAGATGCACAAATCTGAATTGCAATGACAGGAAGGACATGGGTGAGTTGTTTTGTAGTTCTAATTTTATTTTATTTATGATTACCATTTCTTTGTTTTTTACAGAAAGGTGTGGATTGTGCAATACCGCATACTGCAATCTATGCAGGCCAAGAATTGTGGCACTTTATTTTCTGTCAAGGGGAATTTGTAAGTGTACAGGCAAAAATGACTTGTATTTTTCAAATATTTTATCTTTATTATGGGGATGACACCGTATTGCAACTACCAGAATCTCTTAAAACAATGCAAATGGGAAATAAAGGTTTGATTTCATATTATATGAAGAAAATGCTGTCACAAGCACCTTACTCCCAGGTATCAGTACACCTCAAATTTGCATATTTGTGGGTAAATGGATCCAAATTGACCATCAGGGCCTTTTATATAGCTGTTTGAGTAATATTATCCTGACCTGACCACAAGCAGTATTTTGTGTTTTTTGTGAATTAAGAATGACTCTATTTTTTCTAAACTAAAAAAGAAACTGAGCATGACCACAATTTCCTGCCATACGGTGGTTGAAATGATGCCCGCCTTTTCATAGCACCGCTGCTTTAGAGAAGGCAGCAAGTCATTTTGCTTTGTTCATATAGCACTGTACAGAAAATTCTAATTTTATAGGAGAAATCAGGTCTTTATGTAACAGATACAAGTAATGTTATTGAGTTCTCAGGTTTTCTATAAATCTCTGATGTTCTCATTGGATAAACAATTTGTTGCTTATGTTGTTTTATTTCCCCCCTTTTCTTTTTTAACAGCTAATGTCAAACTCTCTATTTCTGTACTTTTTCAAAGCTGTTGTCAAAATTCATGTGGATGTCCTGGCTCCTGTATAGTGGAGCTATAGTCTGTATCCCTCCTCATGGATAAATGTGCAGCACATTCAGTATTCACCTCCATTAGTCTTTAGTGATGAGCAAAGTGCGACAGTGGGAGAGTTCAGCTGCTGATGCACCTGTCTAAATGCAGTGCCTTGCAGAAGTGTTCATACCTTTTGAATTTCTTTTTTACATTTTGTCATGTTACCCCCACCACAAACCCCGAATGCATTTATTGGGATTTTATGTGATTGGGTAACTCAAATCAGGACACGATTCTTAAAGGGGTAAAAAAGAAAAAAAAAGATGCATGGTTTTCAATGCATAGAAAAGGGACATTTAAAAACTGTTGAGTATTTTAGAGGAATCTGTTTTTAATAAACTTGGTTATGATAAAACCAAATAACACAGCAAAGTGCTCCCAGAAGTCACCTGATTATTAAATACAATCCATCTACATATACTGTAATATTCATATAAGTCAAGCTCTTCTGTGAAGGTCTCTAATAGTGTGTCAGAAAACACTGACACACTGATAGGTTAAATGCAGAGAGTGGATTTCCTTATTGTGGGACAATAAAGGGATTTACATAATGGAACAAGTAACAAAGCAGGTTAGGTGTGCAGATTTTAGAAGTTTAAGGGCCCTGTCACACTTTGCCGATTTAGCCAGCATTTGCCCAATGTCCCAAAATCACCAAAAATGGTGACATACGCTTAACTTTCTATGTACATTTTCAATTTTGGGCGTATACATAGCGTATTCATAATGAGTCCAGAACTTATGTTGAACGACAGCCTAATATATGCATAACGCACGGAAGCGTAATGACCCTGGAATGCACAAGCATCATTTCATGGACATTACGAAATATCAGTTAAAGCCCCTCCCCCCGTCTGCATAAAAAGGTGTTTTATCATCATGGTATTAACCTAGCAGCTGTTTACCGCCTGCGCCAAAAACAGAATAACTAAAAGGAAAAACAAATAAAGAAGGTTTGCATTCAAAGCAGATTAACTGCCATGTTTGCTAGAAAGGGAGGATCCATCACACTCACCTTCTCACTCACCTTATGATGGGGATGCAGTCTGGAGGAGAACTGACGGTGTCCCCCTGTGAACCCCCTTTCATAACAAAACGCTGCCAATACGCCATTAAACAGTAGCTGTAAGTTAGAAACACATTCAGCGGTTGTCTGGAACACGTCAGCTACGTTTATATGCGTTGAAGATAAGTTCTTGATAAGTTATGCACAACTTACTCATAGCTTCTGGATAAGCTAGACACCACGACGTATGTGTAACTTACACTTAACATTTGTCACAATCAAAAAACGTACCTGTAACTTATGACCCAGGTATGGCAAGTACGTCGGGAAGTTTTGAGCTTGCCGTATGTTGACGTGTTTCAGCGCGCCTCAGTGTGCTCATAACTTATACAAAACGTACCCATAACTTATCCAACTTATGCCAGCATTTTTGCCGGTCTACATTGTCAAGGTGTGACAGGGGCTTAAAGCACAGTTGTTGTAAAGCAGTATGTAAAAGATTCAAAAATCTCTTTAAGTACTTTAAGATACATTATATCAAAAAAGGAATCTGCAAACTTACCAAAGCACAGGTAAGGAAACCTTAACCCCTAGAGGGATCCAAGAAGCCGACTGTAACTCTGGAGGAGCTACAGAGATCCAAATTTTGTTTACTTCTAATAAAAATGTTATGTAGTACATGTGGTCCTTTCACATCATCATTATTATGCAAAACTATGTTTAACTCTATTTCATTAAATACCCCATAAAACATATTTTTAGTTGCAAAGTGCAACAAATATGAACAACTTCAAGGGGTTTGAATACTCTTGCAGTGTGCTGCACGTAATGCTCCTGTCTCCACTTCTTTGAATACTTTAGTGACCTGGCATGATTAAGCAGATTAAATTATTGGGTTTAAGGAAAGCCACGTGGAGCAAGCAAAAGTGTCCCGTTAAATGTTTTGCATTTCATTAGTGAGTAATCGAGAGTCCATGTTATCTATTTGTACAAACTGTATGCCCAGTGTAGCAAAACCTGACTCAGTGTTTAAAGATTCACTAGTCCTCATGGAGTCATCTTTGTGTAATGAATGATACATCACTGGAAACTTGGATGTTTTTGGGTTCCTCCTATTTCAAATCCAGGATCAGTGTTGGTTGTTTCTTTATTTATTTTTAGGAATGAAGGTTTGATGATTAAAGCTCTTTGATTCTGTACCAATCCTCCGTTTTTCCCTTCATCCCTTGTTCGCGGTAATCATGCGT